TATATATATATATATATATATATATACGTATACATATATGTATATACATATATATGTGTGCACATACATTCATATATTATGCATATATATATATGTATATATATATGTGTACACATACGTACATATATATATATATATACGCATTAAGAATCAATACTTCATAATTTTTGCCCGATTCTTTCACCGTTTGTACTTTGAAGGTACAGTAAAACAGAAAAAAATCGTTAACTCAATGCAGCTGTGTTACTGTGTAGGTGCAACTGCGTTTCTGCACTGCCCGCAAAACGTAGGTGGGAGCAGCCAAATTTACGGAAGAAAAGACGAACAAAGGAACCAACCACATAGGTCTGCAGTAGCACTGTGCGCACTGAGGTCTTGGATGTCCCTCGGGATCCACATCATCCTCGATGTTATCCAGGCACTGCTTCCACAACTTGATGTTTGACAGTTCTGCCGAGCATCCCAAACAGGGTTCTAAGCGCTGAAAACAACTAGGCATGTTAACAAAATCAAAGAATAAATGAGAAAAGTACTTCATGAAACGAAACCGAACGTAGGATTGACTACTCAGTGCGCGCTGCCCTCGTTACTGCTACTCAAAAAAATGAGTTTCCAAAGTTGGGTTACCATCATTTCATAATTAGCAGTATCAATCAAATCACGGGGTCGGAAATGAAGCATTTTTGCAAGTGCTACATCAAAAAAAAAAAACTTTTAGTGGACTAATTTAAATTCTTGATAGTGACAATAATGCAAAATCCATTCCGATTCTGTAGGGGGGAAGATGGAAAACCTAAACTGTCGGTGAATTCAAAGATGATCTGCTTCTACACTACACCTCAGCAGACTAAGTGAAACAAAATGCAAACCTCCGGTTCACTGTAGTCGAATTTTGAGTTCAGCGCAATCTGTCGCGTAAATGCTTCAACAAAACGTTCGCTCAACGAGTGTTTCAAAATCACTTCTCGTGCCATTGCAATTGGTTTGTCTAGTTTGCCACGCAGATCGCGAAACGATTCGGTGAGCACTCTGCAAGCAGAAATGCTTACGATTTTGGCTGTTTGCGCCAATGCACAAACGCCAAAGCAGCATTAAAATGGGGCCAACATCTTTTACATTTACACTACGGGTAAGTTGCGAAAGCAGTACCATCGATGCCCTCAAAGTATCGAAACAGGAGGACCGTGCCCATCTTTTCACTACTACTGAGATGAATGTGCTGATGTCACTGACGAAAGCTGAAGAACCAGCGCTGTCTGTGACGGAAAGAGCGACGGAGCAAAAAAGTGCTCGGCGTGTCTCTTAATGATCATATAAGTAATCACTCCCAGTCACAAGTGTGGCGCGCAGAATTATCATTTGGGACTAGCAAGAAAGTAAAATCCGGCGAAAAAGAAAGTAAAATCCGGCCTCAGTGGAAAAATAAACGACTAAATGGAACGCGACAGAGCTGCGCTCAGCGCATGGGGTCACCCCAATAACATTACTAACATGCATTAACGGATTCAGGACGGCTTGCAGGAGAGGGTGGAGGGGGAGCGGGGGCGG